TAGACCAAAATCTTTAAAATATGATGAAGAATTTGGAGAGAGAAAAGAATATTGGAAAGAATAGGAATAAGAATCTGTTGAAGGAGAAAAAAAATAAAATAGAAAGACAAAGTAGAAGAAGAAGATAGGGAAGAGAAAAAATTGGATGAAAACTTTAAAAGATGAAGGAATTGGAGAAAGTAGAAAGAATATGAAGATGAGGTAAAAGCCGAAAAACACCAAAAGAATAGGAAGTCGGTGATAACGAAGAAGACGATGACAATGAAAAAGGAAAAGAAAAAAAAAAGAAGAAGAAATAGAATACTAAAACATTGAAGAAGAAGAAGAAAAGGAATAAAATCTGGAAGAGAAAAAAAATCAAAAGATGTATGAGAGGAAAAAGGAAAAGATGTGGAGAAGAAGAAGAAGACGTGAAAAAAGAAAAATCAGCAGAATAAAAAGTAAAAAAAAGACATAGAAAATAAAGAAGAAAAAAAAACAAAAAAAGAAAAAAAGAAAGAAAGAAGAAAATGATAAAAAAAAACAAATTAAAAGATAAAAAGAGAAAAAGATGAATAATTTATATTAATCTTATTTTAATTTGTGTTTATTGATTTCATACACTTATTAGTATTTATTTTAAAGTTTTTAATGTTAGACAATGATTACTTTCATAGATTAGCTTTATTTTAATTTTGTATGTATCAAATTCTTGATCTAATTATTTTTGATTTATGACATAAAATTTTATTTTAGATTTTAATGAAACTTTTCGGTCCGCGCAAGTCGCAGATTAAACAGCTAGTAACTTAAAATGGTATCAAAATTGGTTCTTATTTAGCCATAATTAAAATTACGTTTTAAGGAAAAGGAAAAATGATTTTCGAACGGTAGTATTACTTGACTACGGTTATATATGTAGAGACTTGAGAGTGGGGAAGTAAAGCAGGTATGTGTTGGGAATTAGGTGAGACTAGTTTAGTAATAATTGAGTCTCCCTCGGACAAATTTTGATATAAAAATTGTTACCGAAAAAAAAATTTGATATAATGGCTTAAAGATAGGCCACGAGACGTGGCGATCCCTGTCTTTGTCTGTTACGTGGAAAGACACTAACTTATTTCATCAGGTCTCTACGTGCTGATGTCAGCGATGCGTATGAAACACCCTGGCCTCTCAAATCTGACACTTCTTTCAGGGGTTATAGGCTTCTAGATTTCGGCCCACTAATTGTCCAGTCCACAATCGCAATGTGACCCAATTTTTTTTTTTTTAAACGGACTTGTATAGTTCTATGGTCAATAAATTCACATCTCGAGTTATTGGTTGAGTCAGTCTGCAATGGCTGAAAGAAGTAGATGCGTATGATGAATTCAAATTACGATGGTAATCCAAAAGCTGGATTCCATTTTTACAGTATTTTATGCAAATATCTGCTACATATCGTAATAATTATACTTTTACACATAAATTTCGTATTTTGAATTTTTGATGTTGTAAAATCCGGACCTCTCACGCAATTAAAAGGTTTAGTTTGGAATAAAAATCCGACTTAAATCACCCAGTCAATCAAATACGAAAATACATAAATATTTAAACAGATAAAATATTATCGTCTTAGGAACATGTATTTGTACTTATCCTGGTCCGAATAATAAGACTCACTAGTATTATCACCCATGCTACGCATGGATTAATTTTTTCATTTAAATTACTTTTTACAAATAAAACATTACATTAGTGATAGAACACTCATTCCATCAAAGAAAACCGAAAAAAAAATGAGAGAGAAGCAGTTGAACGATTACCTGTAATCAGACTCTTGCAAACAAATCTCTGATACAATAATAATAAATGGTTGACATTTTCAACCTGAATCACACAGAAAAAAAATCAGAATATTAATATGAGGAGGAAAAAAATGAAATGAATCTGAATAGAAAATAAGCATAAATCTGTCTCAAATTAGTTCTTGTATTATAACAAATATTTAAAATCAGAATCAAAGATCAGAATCAAAAGAAAAGAAAAAAGATGAATATAGATATATCAATGAAGAAGAAGAGAGAGACTTGAAATTGAAAACTTGATATAATAGAAGAAGTTGAATCGAAGAAAAGATACCATGAAGTAGTGGAAGAAAATTTAGGGATTTTTAGGATTAAAGAGTTTTAATTTTAATTTTAAAAGTTTTATATCTATTTTTTGTTATTTTTTAAGTGATTTTTTTTTTGCTGCTTGCCACATATCAACTTATAATTGCATAAATGAGTTGTAATTTAGTAATATAAGGATTCGTGATTTTCTGCATGCAACCTTGAAATCTCGAACTCTTCAATATGTTTTAAGTTGAAATCAAAATAATGTAAAAATCGTAGGTGCTACGATCTTTCGTAATGCATGCTTTTAAGACAATTATTCCGATCAAACCTTTTGGATCAATAAAATTTTATATTATAGCAAATCCTAATTAAAATTTAGTGAAAAAAATCTTAAAGTTTATTTAGTTGAGATGGCTAAAATCCAGTAATGCACCCATTGAAACCCAAATTCGAACCCCAGGTCCCCATGTACCCTATATGTTTATTTTTACCAATTGTGCACCCAGAATTTTCTTAAGCTGGCTTCGCCCAGTTGTATGAAAGTGTGAACCACGTACACCCTATTCATAGATGTTTATAAACTAAGATGTTTAATTTGTCTTGTCTTTTTCATCATTACCTTTCCGAGAGAAAACCAATTGGATGATATAACTATTCAAACTTATCTTCCGTCAAAATATCCTCAATTTATGCTATAATGGCTCATACGCTTCTCGAACCAGACATGTTAAGGAGGTTCCCATATCGAATATTGTGCGGCTTAAACAGTTTTGGCGTCAATATTTTATGCAAAACGACGACAAACAAAACTATACATATCTTTAAATAGTATAGATTTCAACAAAAACATACATACAGTAGAAACTCTATAAATTAATATTCGATAAATTAATAAATTCGATTAATTAATAAATTTATTTGGTCTTAAATTTATGTTTTGGTTCAATTAATTTTTTTATAAATAGATAACTCTCTAAATTGATAAAATATAAGAGTCAATGTTATTAATTTATAGATTTTTTACTGTATATATATTATATATATATATTACCATCATAAAAAGAAAACTTATAATTTATTAAAAAAAAACTTAACATCAAATTTAGCAAGGATAAAGGCATTTGCAATGACCAATTTCGTCACAATGTCCACATCCACCAGTATACTTTTGCGCACAGCGTTGAATGCAACACTGAACCCCACAATGAGTGTTGCAAAAGCCAGCCTGGCCAACGCCACGGTACGGAGGTGGAGGACGAACTAGACCTGGTCCTAGACTTACCTGGGCTATATTCACCTTCGCCTTATTTTCAGCTGTAAAAGTGAGTATCCATGCATGGTTAAATTCTGTTAGTACATGGAAAATGGATCATCTATAGAAACAGTTGAATCTATAACAATTAGTACCAAAAAATACTTGTTACTAGCCGGGAAAGAATTTCTGTTAGTACAGTTTCTTACGTAAGAAAAAATTGATGTAGAAATATATAACTATTTAGTTGTAATAAGATGCGGTGCATTTTATTCTGCATCATTTTATCGAGGAATAGTTAGTGCGTAAAGCACTAAAACATTGGGCTATTTCATGGTCAATGAATAATTGCATTAAAAGAGAATACCGGAAGCAAGCATGGTAGAGAAGATGATGAAAACCACAAATGAGAGTGCCTTCTTCATTTTCCTAATTTTTTTTTTCTTTGACAATTGGTTAAGCCAATTATTTGATTATAATTAGAGCATTTAGTTGGTCAATATATAATGCAATGCACCCCCAAAACAAAATGTTTATTAATATGCTGCCAAAACAGATCATTACATTATGGAGTCCATCATTGAAACATCAAATCAAACTTTCATTTAATTTAGTCAAAATTTATTTGACAAATAAATTTCAATCCTATCAGAACATTCAAGACTATATTAAATGATAAACTTTGACTTCAAACTTCAGTTAGCATTCCTTTTATTCTCAAATAAACTTTGACTAAATTTTAATCCTAATGTCAACATCCGTTATCATATTACTAAATGTTTAGAACACAATTCAAACTTCTGAATGAGCCTTAAATGATAAAATGGATTTCCATATATATCTAAAAGTAATGCAAGAAGTACTAAATTTCGCCTCATTTATAATCTATGTATATTACAAACTCAGGCTCGGCTCAAAGATATAAATTATGTTGGTCATGTGCCAATTTTTTTAATTCAAATATTTATATAAATTATGTATTTGAAAAATTGGACCCCTATTTACAACTTTTTAGAAAGCAGGCCTTAAATAGATGAAAAAATAACAAAAAGTGGTCTCTAAGTGCACACTTAGGATATGCTTTAAGTCGGGCATGAACAACCTAGATGCCTTCTTGTACACAAAAGAGTTAACTATTAGATCATTTGAATAACTTTTTTGCATGTTATTTATGCGTTTATGATGTAAATAGACCTAACTATACAAATTTTTAGAATGTATAAGCGATGATCAAAATTATCATATTTTCAAAGTATATTTAGATCATGCTTTGTTTCTCATAATATTTTGTTCAAAATTATTAACTTCTGTAATGTTTTACAAATGAATAAAAATAATGTTACAGTATGGATATGTTGCTATTCATCCATATTCCGTTAAAAAGTAAACTGTTGGGAAGTTGAAATTCGCCCTGGGCATTCGGATAGCCGGTTCGGTTCCGAGTAGGAACCGAATGGTTCTGGGTATTTCGGGTATACATGAAGAAAATCCAAAGTGGTACCAAATGAATTTCAGTTCGGTTTCGGTTCGGTTCGGGTATAAAGTACTAGGAACCGATAAAAACCAAAATATATCGGTTCTTAAATTAATCGGGTATTTTTGTACCCGAAATCCATTTTTGTATCCGAAATGTACAAAAGTAACCAAAACTGATAAAAAAACCAAAATCTGCAAACAAATAAGAGCTTATCATGAACGGCTTAAGCATAATTCACAAAATACATTAAATTGTTTTCAATGGTTTAAACGTGTTCCAAACTAGTCAATAACAAAAGAACATAAACGATAAAGATATATGAACTAAACCCTAAGCCATAGCGTGCTCCAACGTCCATTCCCGAGCTCTTCCATCAAACCCCGACTTGTCTTCCTTGTACATCCTCGCTTTCTCTTCATCGTAGTACTCCCCTTCACCTAATTTTGGGTTTCTCAGCATCTCATGAATTTTTGTGAGAATCTTATGGATGGTGTTTATGGGCGAGAAGTAGTCGGTACTGATCATCCGTAGGAAGATATCTCCATGATCTCCTACGTTGGGGTGGAAGACCTTCGTTCTGAAGAAGACCTTGGGTGGCTTGAACGGGTATTGGGGAGGAAAATGCATGTCAATTAGGAAGACTCCGTTCTCGTACGGCGATCCTGCTGGCCCAAAAAGCTGAGCCTTCCAAAAACTGATATCTCCATCAACCGGGCCTAATCAAATGTGTCAAAGAAAAAAAAAATTAGTAGATTACAAAGTCTAAACTCGGAAACAACATATTTAAGCATAATAATACAACAAAATACTTGTACTGTATAGCGGGCTCTTAACCCGCTCAATTTCCTTTTTCTGAATCATGAGAGATTTCTCCCAGTACAGGACTGAATTGTGTTGCATCCTCTGCCCATAACAGAAGGGGATCAGAACAATACATATATGTAAACTATACTATACTAGATCAAGTGACTACAGCTGATTCAAGATCAGGTAAAGAGATCAAAATTTGAGAACACAATCGATATCAACCAATTTTATCCAAGTACAGGAATCGAACACATATTGCCATCATCGAACTTGTATCACTTCCAAGAACAACCGCACACACCACACTAAACCAAATTTCAATGGAGCCTAACTTGAAAACCGATTTCCCCAAATCGCAGAAACCCTAAAAGCAAACTACCACAAACCCATCAAATCGGATTCATTCATTTGTATCAATTGCTACAACACACAGATTTCAAACCTAAAACGCCATTTTCAATCGATCCAAACAGGAAATTTTAAAAATCCCCAAATCTACGAAACCCTAATTTACTAATTTCGACCGAACAAACAAAAAATCGAAGAGATAGAGTTCAGTCTTACCTTGAGCAGTCTTGTCCCGTCGAATCCTAGCGGAAACTGACTTAATCGGGGCCGGAATCGAGAAACAGAGTGAAATCACCGATGACTGCGAGAGAAACCGCAGAAGAGAGAAAAATGAGATTTTCTGAAAAATGACGAGTCGTGAATGAGAAGGGCAATTTTCGGAAAATCATTTGAAAATTTGGGCTTTTTTCTTTGGGCTTTTTTCTTTTTTTAGGGTTTAGGCTTTTTTCCTAACAAAATACGAGTTGTTAACATTTGGGCTTTTTTCTTTTTTAAAAAAAATCATTTGCCTATGATACTGGGCCCAAAACGTGATATCATACTCCAATGGACATGCTCTAAGAACTAAAAAGTACCAAATCCCTTAAACATAAGTCATCATCAAGTTTGAAAAGCAAAAGTAGAAGACTGGAAGACGATGTAGCAACATCAAATACATAAAACAAATCCGAGTTTGAGAAGCATAGACAAATGCATAAATAAAAAAAGTTCAACATCCAAAAGCCAAAGAGGCAAAAACAATCTTTGATACTTCATTGACTTCATTGGTACAGTCTTTGATACTTCATTGACTCCTTAGTCTTCCAAATTCATATCTCCAAACTCTGTAAAATGCAAACAAATAAAGTCATATAAGTAATGTTAGTACTTATAACTGAAAAATGTAATAGATTATGCTGACTTACCACTTTGAAGATCATCCTGGTCTTCTATCTCATCAAGTAGCTGCTCAATGGTAATGCTTCCTCTACGGTCCATACGTATCTCCGACTTAAGCCATTGCTCAGCACACATGAGAACTTCGATGGTGTAATGAGTCAAGCAACTCCTGCTAGGATCCAAGATGCGACCACTTGTGGAAAATGCCGACTCTGATGCAACCGATGAAACCTGCATTGCTAATATATCCATAGCCACTTGTGACAGAACCGGAAACTTATGAGTATTGACCTTCCACCATGAGAGTACATCATACTCGGTTCCCTCAAATATATGTGGATTCTCCACATTCTCGGACAAGTACAAATCTAGCTCAGATCTAACTTCCTGAAACCCTGTCTCTTGTACCATCTCTTTGTAAACTAAATCCATCCTTTCATAGCGAGAACGACCAGCCAAGCTCAATCTACGGTTCCTAGTTCTAGCTAAGTCCTGAGTAGTTCCAGAGCTAGATGCACCATTCGATGATCCACTAAACTGTGACTGAGAAAACGTACCTGTACTAGCCGTAGGAGTTGAAGATTGGTTTACAGAACCACCAGACCTGACATTGTACTCATCAAACAACCTCTCCAGAATCTCCAAGATGGACTCATTCATCTGCGTAGCAATTGCACTATCTGGCCCATAAAGCTTTTCAAAACAAAGCTTGGCAAACTTCATCTTATTTCTTACTATCAGCATCTGATTCATCTCGGTTTCAAAACCGAACGGATCCCAATACTTGCCTAGCTTTGCAATCATAGCTGCTGCTTTCTTCTTAAGCTCATCATCGCCATCTCGGCTCAGTAATATCAGGTTCCTCTCAATTGTCACCATCTCATTGTAACACTTATGCGCACGAGGGGAGTTAGTTCCAGAGAGGACAAGAGTTGAATTGTAAAAGATGACAAGGAATTGAAATAACCTGTCCACTGCCTCCCAATCTTCTTTCATAGGCGGGCCAATCCTCTTTGTCCCATCAACTTTTTCCTTGAAGTAGTCGTTGTACAACTTGTCCTCAGCCTGCATCTTGTCAAAAGTCACCTTGAAATCCATCGCTCTATTCAACATCAGATATGTTGAATTCCACCTTGTTTTGCAATCCAGAGACAGACTCCCTCTCGTCATCTTCCCTGTATCAACACGAACCTCGAATGACATCAGTCCTGGTGTAGACGACCTCACAAACTGTACACCATTCCGAATGGCAGCAATGTTCTTGTCCACAACGTGCAGTCCATCCTTCACAACCAGATTAAGAATGTGAGTAGCACATCTTAAATGTAAATACTCACCATCGAGAACTAGTGCATCATCTCTGACATATCTGAACTCGTCCTCAAACAAACTCATAGCACTTGAGTTTGCTGTTGCATTGTCAACCGTTATGGAGAAGATCTTCTTGATGTCCCACTCAGCTAAGCAGTCTAGCAGAACAGTAGCTATAGTCGACCCTTTGTGGTCACTAATGTGTTTGAAACCAATGATGAATTTTTTCCACTGCCAGTTGTTGTCGATGAAGTGTGCAGTTATCACCATATAACTAGCAATCGTTTTTGGAGCCGTCCATATATCAGTCGTCAAGGAGAGCCGCTGCTTATTGGCCGCAAGTGCTTTCTTCATAAGTGCTTTCTTCCTCACAAACATCTCCACTATGTCTCGAGTCGCTGTTCTCCGAGAGTGTGGCTTGGGCAGTTTGACTCTAGCACAGAAATGTCTCCATGCCAGGCTGTCTATAAAAGACAGAGGCAACTCAGCTAGAACGACCATTTCGTTTGAAGCTTCCCTAATCACCGCATCAGACACCTTACACAGCTTTAAACCGTCTCCAGTCTCAGCATCCAGTTGTTGTTGATCATCCGGTTGCTTTGCTGCTACATGCGCAAGATGCTGCTTGCAGAAT